TGCCCAGGCCGCTGCACCAGCTGTCGCTGCTACAGAGCCCGGCGCGTGAGCCGCCCTCGTGCGCTGCCCTGGGGGGCCTTGGGCTCGGGCTGCGGCGGAGGCGGTGTAGGGGTCTCGCCCGGACTCCCTGGCAGCCCGCCGCCCCCGCGCGCGTCCATAGCGAGGCGGCACTGGGCAGTGTGGAGCGGAGCAGCCGCCGCCACTGCCGGCCCGAGCCTGAGGGAGGGGCGCGGAGTCTCCTAGGCGGGGCCGAGGTTGGGGGCGGCCGCCCCGCCTCTGCCTGCACCCCTTGCCCGCGCGCCGCGCTCTGGCGGAAGAAACTGAGGCTGCGGGGTCAGACGCCCAAGGTTACGCAGCCCTGGGCCCGCGGAAGCAACCAAGGGGAAATTGAGGCCCGCACCGCCAAGCGAAGGACAAGCCCAAGGTTAAGGCTCGGCCTGCAGATTTCCGCCACAAAAGTGCGTTCGTCGCGGCCATCAGGCGCGCTCTGGGCACAGACTCCTGAGGCATGCGGGGAGGGCAGGCCACTGGGGGACCCGTGGGTCTCCCCCTCCCCAGGACCTGCACAGTGGGGAACCGAGGAAGAGTCCAGCACGAAGAGGGTGGTGGTCGTGGTTATCACGGGCTCTGGAGACCCCCCTACCCCCGCAACAGTGCGCTGGAGCCCAGCGAGGACCTTGACGGGGTGCCAAGGCCAGAGGGCTCAGCCCCTGGGTCTCCCCCTCTTCCCAGCCTCTGGGGCTGAAGCCAGGGACCCCAGTGATCTTGGCCCCCTCCCCTGGCTCCCACAGAATGGGTGAGGAAGGGGCAGTGAGGGGTCTGCCACTCAGCAGGTTGGAGCCTGCCCCCCTGACCACCTGTGGTCCTGCTGGGCCACCAAGGTGTTACCTGCTGGGGTATGTTTCCAAGGGTAGAAGTTCAAGAGGTCCCTGCACTTGCAGATGCCGGCCGGGTGCAGAGGGTGTGTGGGCTGGCGTGCCATCCCATGCCCTGCCGGACTGCCCCACACCCTGGGGACTCTGTGCTGGCCACAGGGCAGCTGTCTCCCTGCAGGCTCTCGGTGGCGGGATTGGTAGTGCCATGGCCCACCCAGCAGAGGTATGCTCCAGCCGAGGTGGGCTCTGTATGTCCACCATGGGGATGTGCCGGGTAGGCCAGCTGCCAGAGCCCTGAGGTGCATCTGGGCACCAGGAGAGGTGGACACAGCCAGCTCAAGGGCCTGCCATGCCCACAGCAAAGGCCCAGAGGTCACCAGGTTCTTGACACCACAACCTGTGCCCCCAGCCGGGCCACCAATGAGAACACCTGCCCCATCCACTTAGGCTGCAGATGCAGGTTAAACACCTGAGCCTGGAGCCACAGAGGCAGGACACACAGCAAGGTGGGTGCTGCCCTGTCACTGACCACCGACTGAACATGCCATGCAGGACAGGGGCCAGCAGGTACTCTGGATAGGGCCTGGCCTTAGCAGAGTCCTGAGGCCTTGTCGCACCTTGTGTGTGTGACAGAGGTCCAGGTCCTGGGCCCCCTGGGAGCAGGATCAGGGCTGAGATGCTGGCCTGCTGGCCCGCAGCCCTGAGCAGACCCGGTCCCCCACCCCGGCACAGCCGGCACTCACTCAACTTGGTGCTCAGGTCCTGCAGGTTGTCCTCCTTCAGCAGCTTGCCCCCGTTTCAGCCAGCGGTGCCTGGTGACGGCCGTGGCTCTGTTGTTGAAGGTACAGGTGAGCCACACCCAGGACTCCCCACTCTGCATGGAAGTCGTGCCAGTGCCCGCTGGAAGGCCACACGAGAGGTCAGCAAGGGGCAGGAGAGGAGGGTTGGCTCCCCACAGCCCACCCCCGCCACCCCAAGGCCTGGTTCAGAGGGTGCCTTCTGAGGGGCCCTCGTGCACGGGGGTGTGGCCCGGCATCAGCTCGTGGGGGTCGGTGCCAGCACAAACCTGGAGCTCCGGCTAGGAGCATGCATGCAGCCTGGCTGCCGCTCCCCAGGCCCCAGCCCTCCAGGAACCCCCTTTGTCGGGAGGGGCTGCCCCTCAGGAACCCCACAGCGCATCCACACCCACCGCACCCGCCCAGCACAGGCTCTACCCCAGGCTCCAACACAGTGGTTTCACGGTCAGCTGAGCATGCTCCCATGGGAGGTCCAGAGAACCTTGAGCCTGGGCTGACCCAGGGAGCAGACCCAGCCCCACCAATAAGGACAAGGCCAAACAGGCACCCACGGAGGGAGGGAGCACGGATGGAATGGGTCAGGGCGATGGACGGTTGGGTGGACAGGACACGGGTGATGGCCAGAGACTGCTTGGGCAGGGTGGGAGGGACGGAACCGGGCAGGAGAGGGCCTGGGCTCTACTAGGTGGGAGCTGATGGCACAAGAGGGACACTGAGGCAGGGTTCTGCCACTCTCATCCCAGAACTGCCAGGCCGGCCTGGGCACGGACCCACTTGAGCCTGGGCGGCTGGGTCAAGTGGTTGCGGTCAGGGTCGTTTCTGGCCTGGCACTCACAGGTGCCTCGGCGCTGAGCTGGGCAATGGACATCGTGCTGGCCGTGTGCTCTCGGTAGGCAGCATGGATGTGCACGCGGCCCTGGCCATCAGAGCTTGGGAGCTGCGTCCTCCGGGCATCCCTCAATTCACCACTGGATTTCAGGAACAGGTGAGCATGGCTCACCAATGCAGCTACACCGCTGGCCACCGCCCACCCCTCCTACGACAGTGGAGGCCTCACAAAGCCAGCTATGGGGAGAGGGCGAGAGTGTGAGGCCCCCACAGAACAGGAGCAGGCCACCCCTGCAGAAGGCAAGCAGGGGGAGCACATGCATGTCCAGCTAGGGTTGACCCCCTAAGGTCATAAGACGGGCACTGGGCTCTGCAAACAAGGCATCTGTGGGGACAGTGAGGGGTGCAGGGCCCTCACCTAAGGTCACAGGATGGGTGCTGGGTCTGCGACCCAAGGCAGCTGTGAGAACAATGAGGGGTGCAGGGCCCTCACCTCTGGCCACCTGCAGCTTTCTATTTGGCCCAGGCAATCAGGCCATCATCAGTGGCTGGACCCCAGCTTTTTTTTTTTTTTTTTTTGACAGACAATGAAAGAGAGAGAGAGACACAGAGAGAGAGAGAGAGAGACAGACAGAAAGAGAGAGACACACACACACAGAGAAGGGGTCTTCCTTCCGCTGGTTCACCCCCCAAATCGCTGCTACAGCTGGCGCTGCGCCGATCTGACCCAGGAGCCAGGTGCTTCCTCCTGGTCTCCTATGCGGGTACAGGGCCCAAGCAACTGGGCTATCCTCTACTGCCTTCCAGGGCCACAGCAGAGAGCTGGACTGGAAGAGGAGCAACCAGGACTAGAACCCAGTGCCCACATAGGATGCCGGCGCCGCAGGCGGAGGGTCAACCAAGTAAGCCACGGTGCCGCCCCCTTTCTTTGAACACAACAGAGTATCCTGGACACGGCCAAGGCAGACAGGGTCAGGCAGGGGCTCCTGTCCATAAACACCCTCCCCTGGGGGCAGGGTCCTGAAGCTCTAGGGCTCCTGTGCAGAGTGCAGCTCCCTAGGGACCAGGCACCTGCCTCTTTCGCCCACCTGGAGGTCGCAGGAGCAGCCCAGGAATTCTGGTGGCCCCGAGCAAAGGGTCCCTTCCTAGCTGCAAACCCCACAGCCCCGGGCAGAGCTGAGTCAGGCCAGAAGTGAAGCCGGAGGTGTCCCCCAACACGCCAGCCACCCACCGGTGCCAGGAGAGGCCGTACTAGCCTGGCTGTAGCTGCCCCAGCCCCAGTGTCCAAGGACCCATGTGGACACCTTGTGGAGAACCAGGCTGCCCCTCCACAGGTCTGCACCACCTGGCACTCCTCAAGGGACAGACATGGCCTCAGACGAGAGCAGCTGGACGCCAAGGGGACACCGGTGGCCCAGATCCCTGGGGTGAGGGCCCTGGTCGCTCCAGTCCACGCCACATCCAGCCACCAGGGTCTGACCCTGGACCACAGACTCAGAAAAGCCACAGCTCAACTCCGCCCATGTGATCTGCAACCCAGGTTCGAGTCACCTTCATTAGAGCGACCAGGAGGGCAGGGGGCCAGGCACGGCCTCTATATACAAGCCCACCCTAAGGCGGGATTGCAGCTCCAGAGCGTCCCACCCGCTGGGGTCCTTGCCTCTGCCGCCCCACCCCAAGCCAAGGCTCCCCCAGAGGCCAGAGATTAAGGGTTTGCTTGGGGCGGGCCAGAGTGCGGCCCTCCTGGGCTAACCCCCGCGGGGGACCACGGCTGTGCATCTGGAGAACCGAAGCTGGCCAGGCCCCGACCCGGGAGGGAGCAGGAAGTGGCCAACCCAGCGTGGCCAGGACCCACACAGGAAACAGAAGCTTGCAAGGGCAAGACCCAAACACCCATATAAGGCGCCCGGGAGCCAAGTTGGAAGCAACAACCCACCACGAACCGCACGCCCATGCACGCCGCTGCTCTGCACACCTCCTGAGCCTGAGGTACAGTCGACTAAGCCAGGCAGGGCCAGAGCACGCTCCGCTGGGGCCCCGCAAGGAACCCGGCACTGCCTGGGGGTGCCCCGTGTTCCCCACACTCGGTCGAGGCTGGGGACCTGGAAGAGGAAGCCACCAAAGTGGGTCAGCAGCAGCCCGGGAGCTCTAAGCTGGGCCCTGGGGCTCCAGGCGGGGCTCCCTGTAGTGGCCTGGGTGACCTCGCGGTGACCTTGGGAGACCCACCCCCAAAAGGCAGAGGAGAGAGCCCGCATGCCCCCGCAGACCCCGCAAACGCGGGGTCAAATCCCCGCAAGAATGATAATCCCGGGGCCCAGCCTGCCCAGGCAGCAGCCGTGATCTGCAGCCGAGGGCCACAAGCGGGGTCCCAAGTGGGGGTCAGCCCTGGCTGCGTGCATCTTGGAGGGGGACGGCGGCCCCACCCGCGGGACCTCCAAGACCCAGGGCCCTGCCCTGCAGGCTGACCACCCTCCTGATGCGAGCCCAGGCCCGGGGCCCCCAGCGCGGTGGCGGCAGCTCGTAGCCCCCTCCCCTGGTTCGTAGCCTCATCCACAGTCCCTGAGCGGTGCCCACCTGCCACAGAGGTGCCCCTGGCGTGCAGCTGTGGGAGCCCCAGCAGCGCGAACAGCACAGCCACCATGTCCCCGCTGTAAGCCATCCACTGAACGCCATGCCTGCCGCAGGCAGGCTAGGGCCCCTGTAAGACCGGCCGGGCCCACATGCTGGGCCCGCATACACAGGGCGGTGCCCCGGGGACGGGGCACACACGGTGTGTGTGGGGAGAATACAGGCGCTCTGCACACGCGTGCACACACACGTATGCGGGCGACAGGCAGGCGGCCGCAGGCTGCGGAGGCCGGGGGCGGGCACGTGACCCTGGGGGCGGCCAGGCGTTGCTAGGAACCGGAGCAGGGCTGGGGTGGGGTGGCGCCAGGGTGTGCGTTCAGATGCACACATTCCTGCCATACCCCTGCTAGTGATGACACTGGGACCCCACTACCCAGGTGCTCTCACCCAGGTGCAGTTGAGTCTGGCAAAAGTTAGGCGTCTGCGCAAGCATGGGAGCGCGGCCTGGGAGGGCCAGGAGTCCAAGCCCTTGAGCCCGCGGGGAAAACGGCCCTGAGTTTTACACCATGAGATCCCGCCCAAGCCCCATACTGCACAGGAAGCCGTTCAGTGCCCGGGATCGCGTGGGCTCCCCGCAGGACAGCGCTGAGCCGGGGAACCTGTGGCAGATCTTCCCTCTTACACCTGCACCCCCTCACCTGGGGTGGATGTCCCCTCCCTCATTCCTGCACCCCTCATCCGGGGCAGATGCCCCCTCCATCACTCCTGCACACCTCACCTGGGGTGGATGTCCCCTCCCTCACTCCTGCACCCCTCACCCGGGGCAGATGCCCCCTCCATCACTCCTGCACACCTCACCTGGGGTGGATGTCCTCTCCATTACTCCTGCACCCCTCATCTGGGGCAGATGCCCCCTCCATCACTCCTGCACCCCTCACCTGGGGCAGATGCCCCCTCCATCACACCTGCACCCCTCACCTGGGGTGGATCTGCCCTCCCTCACTCCTGCACCCCTCACCCGGGGCAGATGCCCCCTCTGACACTCCTGTACCCCTCACCTGGGCCAGATACCCTGTCACTCCTGCAACCCTCACCTGGGCCGGACGCCCCCTCAATCACACCTGCACCCCACACCTGGGGCGGATCTGCCCTCCATCTCACCTGCACCTCTCACTTGGGGTGGATGCCCCCTCTGTCCCTCCTGCACTGCTCACCTGGGGCAGATCTGCCCTCTGTCCCTCCTGCACCACTCACCTGGGGCAGATCTGCCCTCCATCTCACCTGCACCTCTCACTTGGGGCGGATGCCCCCTCTGTCCCTCCTGCACTGCACACCTGGGGCAGATCTGCCCTCTGTCCCTCCTGCACTGCTCACCTGGGGCAGATGCCCCTCTGTCACTCCTGCACCCCTCACCCAGGGAGGATCTCCCCTCCATCACTCCTGCACCCCTCACCTGGGGTGGATCTGCCCTCCATCACTCCTGCAATCCTCACCTGGGACGGATGCCCCCACCGCCACTCCTGTGCCCTTAATATCTAGGGAAAAAGTAACTCAAGATAAAGCATACCATTCTATGAAGATAAATAGTGAATATATCAATGAGCTATAGCACTATAATACTGTAAGTTCAAAATATTTGAATTAAAATGTAGCTGAGAAAATAAACTGATAAATCTCCAATCATAGTTGGAGATTCTCACATAATTTTTGTAACTGTTGAAATTAGAAAAAAAGAGCACAAAACATGCATTTCAAAAATCATTGTTATGGCTGGCGCTGTGGGGCAGCAGTTAAAGCCTAACTTGCAGCACTGGCATTCCATATACGCTCTGGTTCAAGTCCCAGCTGTTCCACTTCTGATCCAGCTCCCTGTTAATGTGCCTGGGAAAGCAGCAGCAGATGGCCCAAATCCTTGGGCCCTTGCACCCATGTGGGAGACCCAGAAGAAGCTTCTGGCTCCTGGCTTCGGATCGGCTCAGCTCCAGCACTTCCAGCCCTATGAGGAATGAGGCAGCAGATGGAAGACCTCTCTTTTCTCTCTCTACCTCTCTCTGTAACTGTTCCTTTCAAATAAATAAATTAAATCTTTAAAAAAATCATTATCAATAAGCTCATCCTAATCAACATTTATAGAATTCTATTTGCAGAAATGTAAATACATGTTATTTTCAGGTACACATGAAACATTGACTCATTAGACAGTATTTTAAAGTGTCATAGTTAGGCCGGCGCCACGGCTCACTAGGCTAATCCTCCGCCTAGCGGCGCCGGCACACCGGGTTCTAGTCCCGGTCGGGGCGCCGGATTCTGTCCCGGTTGCCCCTCTTCCAGGCCAGCTCTCTGCTGTGGCCAGGGAGTGCAGTGGAGGATGGCCCAGGTGCTTGGGCCCTGCACCCCATGGGAGACCAGGAGAAGTACCTGGCTCCTGCCATCGGATCAGCGCGGTGCGCCGGCCGCAGCGCGCCGGCCGCGGCGGCCATTGGAGAGTGAACCAACGGCAGAGGAAGACCTTTCTCTCTGTCTCTCTCTCTCACTGTCCACTCTGCCTGTCAATAAATAAATAAATAAATAAATAAAGTGTCATAGTTAAATCTCAATAAATTTGAAAGAGATAAAGTAAAACAGTCCAAATGTAACAGGACTATATTAGAAATCAGTAAGAAGGAAATATTTTTAAAATATCCAACCATTTTAAGCAATACACTTCTAAATAAATCTTCAAATCCAAAAGAAATCTCAGGACTGAAACATATTTTGAGTTGAATGATAATTAAAACATGGGTTTTTGAAATCTGTGGCATGCAGGATAGCAGAATTTATAGGAAAATTAATGTTTAAAATGATATTATTAGAAAATGTTTAAATCGATGATACACCCTAAGGAAGTAAATGAAAGTAGATAAAACCAGTAACAACAAAAGAAAGAGAAGTGGAGTGGAACAAAATTAAATTGAAAGCAAAGAACACAGGAAAACTAATGATGGTAACTATTGTCTATGGGGAAAAAAGGGGAATTTCTAAAACTTTACTAGAATAATTTAACAAGGAAATACAAAAATAACAAATAGCAGAAATAAAAAATTTTATCCTACAGATATTGAAATAATAAAGAAATAAGGTGGAATTCATGCTGACCAGTTAAATAATTTCGATGAAATGAATAAACTCTTTATAATACACAGAATTAGTGTTAAATGGGATGATGATACTCCACTTTCTGTAGATCACACCCACAGCAGTTGATACTTGCTCTGTAGGCACTGATAGGTTGGCAAAGTCACTATGAAAACTTCCACATTTATGTTCATCATGAAGAGGTAAGGGAATACCAATTGATTACCTATTTGCCTGGACCCAGTGAGCACAGAGTCTAATCCATTCTAGTTTCTATAACATAAGTAATATTATTAGATCAGTCCTTAAACACAGAATAAAAGAAAAAGACTGTGTTTTAGCATTAGTTTGTAAGTGGATTAAGGGTATTTAAGAAAGTGTGCTTCATATCTTAAAATACAGATGAAAAGGATTTTATTGACATCAACCTGCCCAGGATTGTAAAGGAAATGAGGAAAGGTCTTCTAAATGACAGTTTAAGGGACTTTGATTTCAGAAAGAGCTGATGTGCAAACTGCTCTGGGGCCTGTGTTATGGCGGTTTCCTGCAGAAACTAGAGGGTCAATATTCTTTAAAATTTTATATTTAGGTTTCATGTTTTATTTGAGAAAAAGAATTCTATGTGTCTTTTTCTCTTTGAAAATTGCTTATGGTTAACAACTTTGACCTTGCAGTGCTACCAGAGTGTGTGGGGCTGTCTGTGAAAACCAGCAGCTTGGTTTGTTAGACATGGTGTGGAGGGGATAGCAAGAAACCCATGTTTAAGTACTTGCCAGTAAAAAGAGCAAACTTCAAAAGACAAGAATGCAGGAAAGCGCCAGTCCTGCTGGCCTGAGGTTAGAGGCCCTTTGGGACAGGGAAGACCAGTGTGACAAACAATTTTTTTATTTTTTTATGATTAGGTACTTATTTGAAAGCCAAAGATACACAGAGTGTGACATAGAGAGATCCTCCATCCAACTGGTTTACTCCCAGGTGGTTGCATCAACCACTATGGGAGCAGGCCAAAGCCAGGAGTCAGGAGTCAGGAGTCGAGACTTCCCGGTCTCCCAAGAGGGTGGCAGGGCCCCAAGCACTTGTTCCATGTGCCACTGCTTTCCCCAGGACATTCGGGAGAATCCTGATCAGAAGTGGAACAGCCTGCATACAAACCAGTGCCCATATGGGATGCTGCCATTACAGAAGGTGACTGAACCTACTATGCTACAACACTGGCCCCCAATTTTTTTATTGATTGGAAAGGCAGGGACACACAAAAGAGAAAGGGCCAGATGGGGAGAACGTCCATCCTTGTTTAGCCCTCCAAGTATACACAACATCCATGGCTGGGCCAGGCAGAAGCCAGGACCCAGGCATTCAACCTGGGTCCATGTGAGTGGCAAGGACCCAACAACTTGAGCCACTACCTGTTGTCTCCCAGGGTGGGTATTACAGGAAACTGGAACTGGAAGGAGAGCTGGGACTTGAACTCAGGCCCTCTGTTATGGGATGGGAGCGTCCCAACAGGTGGTGTCATTGCTGTGCCACACACCCTCCCCCAAAGAGAAGTTTTCCAGGAGAATCCTGGATGCCATGGTTGAGCTAGACTGAACTCAGCAACCAGGAGCTTCATTCACATCTCCCACGTGGGAAAGCAGAGAAGATGGCCCATGTCTTTGGGCCTCTGAATCCAACTGGGATACCTGGGGGAACCTCTCTGAGCCATGGCGTGCAGAAGATCTGCTCCACCCATCCATGGAGAGAGCCATGTTCCCAGAACCAGCTCTCTGTGGCTGCTCCACCTTGGGTTTTGAGCCCCTGAGCCTCTGATATGTTGAGTGCCTGGGAGTACCTCACAGTCCTACCTGGGTGCACAGCCCCCATCAATCCTCCCAGCCAGACTCAAGGTCAGTGGGGAACAGGGACTTTGTTCTCTGGCAATATCCATGGATCCCACACGTGCACCAAGAGTCACTCGCCACAGCCCCTCCTCGTTTCATAATGGCATCTCCTCCTCCCCACCATCTGTCCAACACCTGCTCAGCTGCTACTCTTACACCCATAATTCTACCTGCCCTCTCTCAGCCACCTGTTTGTGGGGAAATGGGGAGAGGGAAATGTGCCCCTTTTTCCCACTGGGTAAGTGGGTGCCCTGTCCCACTGAGGACTCCAGGCCGCATTCACAGACAGTGCAGTCGACCAGGCTCTCCCTCCAGCTAGATCACCAGTGTCACAGGTTTCTGCAGACTGATCTTACCTCACTCTCCAAAGCTGGTGCAGTCTCCCGCTCTCGGCTCCTGGGGTCATGTGCTGTGTCTGTGCTTGCTGCTTTGCATCCACGTGGGCTTTCCACCATGATCCACGGTGTCCTTCTTCCTTCCTCAGCACTTCCTGTAGTTTGCTGTCCAAGTCTCCGCTAAGAATATATTTCATCCACTATTTTTTTTTACTGTTTTCCCCTAGCCTAAAGCAGTACACCCTTTCCCCATCCTGCTCTTCTGGAATCCCCAAGATGCTTTACTTTAAAATAGTTATGCCTCATGAATGGGCATAGCAACATAGCAGAATACAATTTATTTTTTAGAGGTATGGCATAAGCAAATTCAGTTCAGAGTACTAATGTTAGATTTCGTGGCATTTATTCTCACTAGTGAATTTTCAGAAGTCTTACTAACAGTAAGGAATTCCTTTGGGAAATTTAACAGTTTCCTTGCTGAAAACCACTGGGTACATTGTTTTGGGAGTAGAATATTCTGCCCTCGTCAGAACATTAGTCAATGCCATCATATTCACTCTTTGGCAAATAACTCTTTTCTGAAAATACAAAGGGAGAGACATGAAGGAAATTTTCATTCTGATTTAGATAATATTTTGTTCTCAATTATTTCTGATCTCCTTTCCTCTTCAGAATGCACTTGTACATGCACACACACATGCACACATTCATCTGATATAAAGTATTCTGTACAGAGAATTGAGCCTATTAACTGAGATGTGACCAATTTAAAGACTAGAGTCTTAGGAGAGAAAAATACACTGCTCTACAATTATATTCAAACATGCTGCATATTCACTGCCTGTCTGATATTTGTTTAAGGGATCATTTGATAACAGCTTTTCCCCTTTTCGTTTTTTCATTCACATGTTCTTACAGATTTGCTTCATGTTGCTGGTAATTTTCTAGAATATCTGTCCAAGAGTTAACATTGCAATGTGGCATTGCTATCAGTACTCTGCTATGTGATAATTATTTTAACATCTTTGATATTCTGAGAAAATCTGATGGGTAACATTTTTTTCTGGAGCAATTCCTTTTACTTCACGTATTTTAACCCATTGCTTATGGTAGTCCTGTTGAACAGGAGCTGCCTTCACTTCTTGCACCAGAAGCACCAGGAATCTGAATATTCTGTTTTCTGACTCTCAGCAGGTCAGGTGAGATGACTCAGCCTTTCCAAAATTTTACTGAGCAGTTGCACTCCCCAGAATACTTTCTGAGTTCTTTCAAAATATTTTAACCAAAAAAATTAGCTATTATTATCATTAGTTTTCTGGGCAATCTTGGCAGCATCCATTTCTGTGTGTCAGCAGTGAGTCAAAGTGATTATAATACCCTGACAGACAGACTCCTTCCCTAAGGTCCTGTCAAGTGTACTGTGCTCTCAGCACAGATGCAGCACGATCCCTTCATGAAGGAGAACTCTGCCCTACACCATCCAAAGATAGTGAACTCCTCTTTGGGAGCTATGATAAAAACAGAAAAATACACTGCTCTACAATTATATTCAAACATGCTGCAGATTCACTGCCTGTCTGATGTTTGTTTAAGAGATCATTTGATAACAGCTTTTCCCCTTTTGGTTTTTTCATTCACATGTGCTGACAGATTTGCTTCATGTTGCTGGTAATTTTCTAGAATATCTGTACAAGAGGAGTCCTCTCTTCATCTTACTGTCATGACCTCCAATGTGCTTGTCCTACCCTGCCAGGCTCTGGGCTGACAGAATCCTCCAGTGTATCAGAAACATCACATTGTTAGCAAAACAACCTGTGATATACCATTCACGGTCTTGAGTTTCTGCAGCGACACATTGATAGCTGAATCCCAAATACTTGTCACAGCTAAAAAGTACTGTGTGTAAAGTCTTTCTCAACTCAAAGCCCGGAAGAATATCCTTAGTACCAACACTTCAGAGGAAGGGTCCCATTACCCTGATATACCTGACTTTAGGGAAGAACTATTCAATGTAAGAACAGACATGCCCATCCCTTCCTCAAGTTCCACCTGCTCTCTCTAAGTCAACTCTCCTTAGAGGGCATCACCTGCAAGGACAGCCCCAGAACTGAGGCTCCTGTGTCTGGTCAGAGCCTCAGGCTCACAGCCTCATCCTCCAGGAGGCAGTGCATCCACTCCCTGTAAACCTAATCTGGGTCCATCAGAGCAGCTCCCTGGACAGGTACACACGTCACTGTGGAGTAAGTTCCTCTCCCAGTCCTTACTGCTCAACTCAGGATGCCCCTGGAGGACTTGGATGGTGGATCAGGCATATGTGAGAGTCCCCTGAAGTTTCTGACTCGACTTATCCCTATCTGCACCCTCTTTGGATGCCACTTGCTCTAATGTCACTTGGTGTTGCTTGGGTTAACTCCTGTCCCCCAAACATGCTTTCTCTGATGCACTCCCTCAGCTCTTGAGCTCAGAATGTAGACTAAGCCCATGCTGCTGCAGGAGACAACAGAGTAAAGACAAACATCAGGTCTCAGACTCTCAGAAAAGAAAATAGTACAACACACACCAATTCTCTTCTTAGATTAGCCTAAGAATTGAGGTCATAACGAAAAGAGCATCCCTGAACATGAGAAATATAGGCCACTACGAGAAATACCAGCTTACCAGGAAGAGAGAAGCTGCTGAATGCAGCAAATGGTAAGGACACTTCGATGGTAACTGTCCAACTGCTGGAGGCTGGAGGTGACCTGCCTTGACAGTTAAAAACATTGTTGTGTGTGGGCATTTTGCCTTGTAGTTGGAACACTCATTGAGACACCCACAATTACAGAGCCTCAGTTTGAATCCAGCTTTCTGCCAGTGAAGACCCTGGGAGTCAGCAGATGACGACTCACAGAGATCTATCACTGCCATGCAAGTGGGAGACCTGGATTTAGTTCCCAGCTTCCATTTCTGGCAGAGTTGGAATCACCCAGTGGATCACAGTTTAGTGGAAGTGAACAGTTAAAAATCATTCTGAGTCTCTCTGCTTCTTAAATTAGGGTCAAGCTTCTAAGACCATAAAGGAATGAAATTGGAAATTAGCAACTCAGGAATGGACACACAGAACTCAGTAACCAAGTGGCCAAGAGCATCAACACCAGCTTTGGAGAGTGAGCTGAGATCACTGAAGTAGCCCGAGCCACTGGCAATAAAGCTGAGGGAACAGCCTGGAATGAGTTTGGCTTGGAGCCCTGTGGGGGACAGTGTACCTGCCACCTAGAAGAATAAAGGGGGGGGGCATATATTTCTATCTCCCTGAGCCACCCTGCATCGGTATCCTGTAACTAGCTGAGGTATGGCGGGAACCACTTTGGACATATTTATCAGCAGTTCCAGCTTGTGTCCAGGTACCCAGCAACCAGCTGAGATGAGACGCCTGAGTCTGCTGGGAGAACTGACAGGGGTCTGGGCAGTTTTGACTGCGGGAGCCTTGTGTGCTGGGACTGTGAAAACACTGTGGCTGCATGGAAGGGTGCAGGGTGTGGCTGGGTCCCTGGGCAGTCATTCTGGGCTGCTCCACATGCTCAGGTTGCCCTGATTCTCTGGTGAGAGTCATTGCTGCAGGATCCAGGCTCACACTGTGAACTGCACCGATGCTTTGTGTGTTCTTGTGGCAGTGTGGACGAATACAACACTCACTGGGGCTAGAGCTCTGCAACTGGTCTCCTTGGAGCAGAGAAGGTGAGCATGAGAGTATGACAACAGAAGTGGTAAAACTCTCTCCTCTTATAAAAAAAATAAAAGAGATTGGCTGGTGTCACGGCTCACTTGGTTAATCCTCTACCTGTGGTGCTGGCACCCCGGGTTCTAGTCCCAGTTGGGGCACCAGATTCTGTCCTGGTTGTTCCTCTTCCAGTCCAGCTCTCTGCTGTGGCCTGGGAAGGCAGTGGAGGATGGCCCAGGTCCTTGGGCCCTGCACCTGCATGGGAGACCAGGAGGAAGCACCTGGCTCCTCGTTTTGGATTGGTGCAGCACACCAGCTGTAGCAGCCATTTGAAGGGTGAACCAACAGAAAGGAAGACCTTTCTCTCTGTCTCTCTCTTACTAACTCTGCCTGTCCAAAAAAAGAAAAAAAAAAACAGATACCACCACCACCATGTTTATTGCAATATGGTTCACAGCAGCCACAAGGAATAAACAAGGATTTATTTATGAAGATTAAACAAAGATTTCCATCATCAGATGAATTACTAAGCAAAAAAATGTTATAGATTAATGATCAAATGTTATTCAGGACTTAAAAATAATGAAATTTTATCAAGTGCATCAAAATGGAGTTACTGGAGGACTTCATCTTAGAGAAATCAGCCAGAAAAAGAAAAATACCACATGTATTACCTTACATGTGGAAGTTAACTTTTTGAAACATTCAAAACACAAAAACAACAAAAAAAATGCCAATGTGTATCACTATTGCTGCAAATATACTCCTAGAAAACACTGTTTGATAACTTGGACAAACCAGTGGTTAAGAACAGAACACTGGGGCCGGAACTGTGGCATAGTAGGTTAAGCATCCATTGTGGTGCTGGCATCCCATATGGGCACCAGTTCAAGTCCAGCTTCTCCACTTCCGATCCTTTTCCTTGCTGATGGCCTGAGAAAGCAATGGAAGATGGCCCAAAGGCTTGGGCCCCTGCAACATAGTGGGAAAGACAGAAGAAACTCTTGGTTCCTGGCTTTGCACTGGCCCACCTCCAGACATTGTGGCCATCTGTGGAATGAACCCATATTTATGGAAGACCTCTAACTCTACGCCTCCCTCTCTCTGTAACAATACCTCTCAAGAAAACTAATGTTTCTTTTTTTAATTTAATGTCCTAAAATAAAAGATCATCATACTGCTCCGGTGGAACTTTATTCTTTCTACCTTTTTCCTATGAATATTATGGTTACCCTGAATAGTACATGGATTATAATCATATCATGAGAAATAGATGAAAAGAGGAAAGGGGAAGAGAGGAAATTCTGGGTTTATTCTTAGAACTGTACCTCCACAATTCATGAAATATGATCTCTTTGCATTCATTTTAAAAATAATTGAAGGGGCAGGTGCTGTGTGGCAGTGTGTTAAAGCCCAGGCTTGAAAGGTGGGCATCCCACCACATGGGCATAGGTTCTAGTTCATGCTGCTCCTCTTCTGATCTAGCTCTCTGCTATGGACTGGGAAAGCAGTAGAAGATGGCCCAAGTCCTTGGGCCCCTGCATCCACGTGGGAGACCTGGAAGAGGCTCCTGGTTCGTAACTTGCAATCAGCTCATTTCTAGCCATGTGGCAATTTGGGAAATGAACCAGCAGAGTGAAGACTTCTCCCTCTATCTCTACACCTCTTTCAGTAATTCTGTCTTTTAAGTAAGTAAAAGTAAATTTTAAAAAATTTTAAGAAGAAAAAAGAATGTTACATTAGTATAGTTTTAATGATCTGTGATTACTTTAAATTTAGGGTGTATAAATAAAATGGTCAATTTTCCATTCAACTGATTATACTTGTTACTTATATTCCCTATAAATGAGGGTTTCTAATCTTTCCTTATTTTTGGAAGATCTATTTTGTTTATTACAAAGACATTGTTACATACAGAGAGAGAGAAAGAAGGAGAGATCTTCCATCTGCTGGTTCACATTTCCAGGTCTTCCACATGGGTGCAAAGTCACAAGCACTTGGGCTGTTCTCTCCTGCTTTGGTGCATTAGCATGGAGTTGGATCAGAAATGGAGTACAAACCGGTGCTGTGGCATAATGAGTAAGGGTGCCTCCTGCAGTGCCGGCATCCATATGGGTGCTGGTTTCAAGTCCCAGCTGGTCGACTTCTGATCCAGCTCTCTGCTATGGCCTGGGAAAGCAGTGGAAGATGGCCCAAGTCCTTGGGCCCCTACACCTGCACTGGAAGACCCTGAGGAAGCTCCTGGCTCCTGGCTTCGGATCAGTGCACCTCTGGCCATTTGGACCTTCCAGGGAGTGAACCAGTGGATTGAAGACCTCTCACTCACTCTCTCTGCCTCTCTACAACACTGTCTTTCAAATAAATGAATATGTCTTGAAAAAAAAAGAAGTGGATTAAATGGGACTTGAACAATCACCCATAGGGGGATGCCAAACATTGCCCCCCCCCCCATTTTTTAGTATCTGAACTTCTTACTTGGTAAAGAATTTAGCTTTTTTTACTAAAATGCAAATATAGAAACTGTCCAAAATGGATGAAAGTAAGGAAGGGAGGAACAAATGGAGAAAGGAAGGAAGAGGTACACTGGGAGAGACAGCGTTGGAAGGAGAGCAGAAAGAAGGGAATGTTGATTCATAATTGTTCTATAGAACATATTGAAGAATTTTTTTAACCTAAAAAACAAATACATCTACTGGGATGTATTAATCTTTGATGGAGATTTACATAAAATAGGTAAGCACTCAAATTGCAGGAAAATTAAAAATGTAAAATGTGCATGTTCACAAAATTCTGTACAAGGAAAACATGACTTTTATAAAAACGTAAGTTTGAAAATCTTTCTCTAGAAATAAACTATAAAGTGAGAGTATAAAAGCTATATAAATTCTGCATAAGTGTTACTCAAAAATAACACTGCATTGAAAAGAAAAACATAAGGAAGAATTTGCATTCCTAACAAATGTGACAGCGTGAAATAAGACAGGGTATAATGGCTCATAAAAGCAAACGGAAACATCAGCGATGGTATAAAAAAACACATGAGGAATAGGAAGTACTACAAAGTATACATTCCTACATAAGGGGAAGATATTTCAAGAACTCCTACCTGGTAAGGTCCTGCAGGACTAAGTCATCCCCAGCCCCCAAACAGCAATCAGAACAAACACTCCATGAAAGCAGAAGCTTTCACACAGAGCTGCCTAGAAGGATATGGAAAACATGCACCACGACAAAGCTGTGCGCAGTTTATCAAAATGTCTTGAAAGACAACAAACTCACAACTGCTTCTTTCCACAAACTTTTCAAAGTACCTCATGTTGGCCCCTGCATTACATTAAATAATGAGAACAAATGCTGGCACATAACAGAAACATCTTTGAAAGACAAGAAATACACCATTACCAAGAGAGAGTCCTCTGCCCAAATTCAGACTTCTATAAGCTTCCCTAAAGCCTCAAATTTCAGTCCAGCCTAGATCAGGTTCTTGTCTTCCTAAGCACAACACCAACCCAGTTTTCTCCCAGATAAGCCTCTCCCATCCCTGGTATTCCAGAGAACTTTGTCAAAGTTTCCTAATTAACCGTGCACCCATACCACAGTCCCTAAGAAAGACCACACTATACCCCTCACCATTTTCTTACCCTCACTTTTCCTAAGGTTGCTGCCCAGGCCCTGTCCCAGGTCTAACACTTGGAGACTCCACCAGTTCTACTAGTAGACCTACAAGCTCCTCCCTATTACAACTCTACTGACTAAAGTCACCAGACCTCCTCCATACACTCCTTCCATTTCCCTGTCTATATCACAGAGTGGCAATATACAGAAATTACCTGATTTCAGCTCCCAACACCTTGCATGCCCCAGGCATCTAACAATCCAATCACCATCACACTAAATACCTCCATCCCGTCATTCTTAGTCCTGGAATCTAAAACCCAAACTTTTATTAACACGTCTCTCCAAACCAGACTTCTTGGGTTTTGTACTCTGACTCGACAGCACACACTTTTCCTCCAGGTCTCCCTCCCAATTCCTGGATACCCAAGTCTTCCCCTATTACCATGTTCTTTGGCCCCTAATTCTCTACAGTGCCCGGGGGAACTCATTCCCCAACATCCTATCCATCCCTGTCTCCATGCTCTTCAAATCTACTGAAGCCCACCAGGCCCCTACATTTCTCCCCATGCCTGTGGGGCTGCCCCACATGACCCTCCTTGCCACAGGGTAAGGGAACATCACTGTCAGCCTGGGCCGCCCAACCCCAGGGAACGGGCTTTCCCTTCCCTTCCCCTTGTGCATCCAGACATGGCCACCACTGGGGCAGCCACATCTACTCACCAGTTGCTCCTCTCCAGGAAGAAGGCCCAGCTGGCATTGAGCAGGAAGCTGTGCAGTCTCTCTGGGAATGGGAGATTACTTGGCAGCTGAGCTTCAGCATCCACTCTGGGTTAGTTTCACATCCAGGTCCTCTGGGAGGGAGGAGGGGAGGCAGACATCGCTTCTTGGCTTCCTCATGGCTGAGCCGCTGCCCACCCCCGCTGCCGCCGAACCTGTGGATTTCCGGGGAGAACGCTGCTGGGAAGTCACGGGATCCCATCTCCTTTGAGGCAGCCCCTGGGCATCTCTGTCCTGTTAGCTTAAATACGCAAGTGCCATCCAACTAACACCTCCCCCTTCCTCCCAGGAAACACAGTGTCAGTGGAGGAGGCCAAGCTACCTTGATGAACCAGGGGAAGTGGTCTTAGTTCTAAATGGCACTGCGGCCCTGTGCTCATCACAATCAGAAATGCTCCACGGACATTGTCGATTCCCATCCAGCCCACCAGAATCTCAGGGCAGTATGGAGCTCTCTAGACCTTGGGGCTGACACCCAGACACTGCCGTTGGTGCAGCGCTCTGACAAACTGCCCGCGGTCAGGGTACTGAATGGAGGATACCAGCCTAGCATCCTTGGCCTAGTCGGTGGCCGGGGCTGCTGCCCTGAGTCAGACAAGCAGGCCTGGTGCTGTGTTACACCACGTTAAAGCCATGGCATGCAGTGCTGTCTTTCCATATGGGTGCCAGTATGTGTTCTAGCTGCCCCACTTCCAATCCAGCTCCCTCCTAATGTGCCTGGGGAAGCGGTGGAGAATGTCCCAATTCCTTGGGCCCCTGCAGCCACATGGGACACCCAGAAGAAGGTCCTGGATCCTGACTTCATATTGGCTCAGTTTGGCCATCACGGTCATTCCGGGAGTGTACTGGCAAATGGAAGACCTCTCTCCCTCTCTCACTCTCATACTCTCTCAATCTCGTTCACCTGCACTTGTTCTGTTTCTCTCTAATTCTTTTTTTATTTTATTGATTTTTTTTTGACAGGCAGAGTTAGACAGTGAGAGGGAGAGACAGAGACAAAGGTTTTCCTTCTGTTGGTTCACCTCCCAAATGGCCACTATGGCCAGCGCTACACCAATCCAAAGCCAGGAGCCAGCTGCCACCTCCTGTTCTCCCACGTGGCTGCAGGTGCCCAAGCACTTGGACCATCCTTCAATGCCCTTCTGGGCCACAGCAGAGTCCTGGATACTTGGGTATCCAGGACTGGAAGAGGAGCAGCTGGGAATAGAACCTGGTGCCCATATGGGATGCCGGCATTACAGGCGGAGGATTAGCCAAGTGAAACACGTTGCCAGCCTTCTCTCGAATTCTTAGAAATAAATGAAATAAATGTTTTTATTAAAAAAACCCACATTATCATCTCATTAGATAGAGAAATAACCTGAAAGATCCAATCCCATTCATGATAAAAAAAAAAAAAAACTTCCACAAAGTAGGTATAAAAGGAATAGGCATCAAAATCTTAAAGGCTATGTATCACAGCTCAACAGCCAATGTCATGCTGGATGGGCAAAAAGTGAAAGCATTTTGGTCAAACATGTAACAACACAAGGATATCCCCTTTTAAAATTCTTACTGAATGTAGTACAGTAAATTTTCACAAGAGAAAGAAAGGAGAAGAAAGAAATAAACAGCACCTAGATTATAAAAGAGAAAGTGAAATTCTAAAAGCTTACAGGTGGCATGATATGGTACCAGAAAAAAACTATAACAATCCACCAAAAATACTGCTAGAACGGGTCAAACAATTAAGTGAAGTTTCAGGTTATGAATAAACATAGTGTGTAAGCAGCAGTTTTTATACATTAATGATGAACTCACTGACAGAGCAATCAATAAATATCCCAAGGACAATAACCACATAAATAAAAAGTTTAGGAAAAATTTAACCAAAGAAGTAAAAGAGCACTAAATGAAAATCACCATACACTGATGAACGAAATCACCAAGGACACAAAAGTGGAAAGATGTCTCTTTTGGTGGATTTGAAGAATCAGTATAATTAAAATCTCTACCTTGCCTAATGCTACCTAAAGATTCAATTAAATTTTCATCAAAACACCAATGACGTTTTTACAGAATTATATACCACAAACCTATAATTCAAACAAAATCACAGAAGATACAGAATAGATAAGGTGTTTCTGAGCAAAAAGTGAAACAAAGTTAGCCTGGATACCTCACAACACCTGATTCAAAGCATTCTACAAATGACACTAAACAAAATATCATAGCACTTGCATAAAAAGTGACACACAGACCAATGGAAGAAAACAAGGCGAGCTCCACTATTAATCAAAATATGTTCAATACCATATTTTTACAAAAGGTCTCAGACCATCCATTGGAGTTCTTCAACAAGTGGTATTGCCAAAAAAGGATGTATTTGTGTAGAAGATTGAAATTAGATTCATAACTCCAATAAAATATAAAAATCAACTCAAAATGGATCGGAGTCCTAAATCTATGACCCAGGACTGTGAAGCTTTTTGAAGGAAATACAGGCCGGCGCCGCGGCTCACTAGGCTAATCCTCCACCTAGCGGCGCCGGCACACCGGGTTCTAGTCCCGGTCAGGGCGCCGGATTCTGTCCCGGTTGCCCCTCTTCCAGGCCAGCCCTCTGCTGTGGCCAGGGAGTGCAGTGGAGGATGTCCCAGGTGCTTGGGCCCTGCACCCCATGGGAGACCAGGAAAAGCACCTGGCTCCTGGCTCCTGCCATCGGATCAGCGCGGTGCGCTGGCCGCAGCGCGCCGGCCGCGGCGGCCATTGGAGGGTGAACCAACGGCAAAGGAAGACCTTTCTCTCTGTCTCTCTCTCTCACTGTCCACTCTGCCTGTCAAAAAAAAATAAAAAAAAATAAAAGAAGGAAATACAAAGAAAGCTCCAGACACTGGAATAGGGGATGACTCTTAGACAAGACCCTCAAAGCCCAGGCAGCTAAAGCAAAACCAAACAAATGGGATCAAATGAAATGAAAAGCTTTGCACAGCGAAGGAAATCATCATAGAGTGAAGAGACATTCACAAGAATGACCAAAAGATACTTGTCAGCAACCTATATGAAAAGGGTTAATATCAGGAATTCATCTGCAACTTAAAAAAAAAACACCAATAAAAACCCAACCCAATCCAGTTATGAAGTAGCCAAAGGAGCTCAACAGACAGTTCCCCATCGATATACAGATGGCCAAGAAATACAGGAAAAATGCGCAACATCACAAGCTATCAGGGAGATGCAAATCCAACCCACAATGAGATATCAGCTCACACGTACATAGTGGCTAAAACCCAAAGGACGGAGAGTTACAATGAGGAGGAAGATGTGGGAAAAGGGAAAAACTTACCCACTGGTGGTAAAAATGTAAATTAGTGCAGACGCTGTGGAAAACGGTATGGAGATTTCTTAAAAACCAGACAGACTTGCCATACGATATGGAGCAATCCCTCTACTGGCTATAACCCAAAACACATGAACATATTGTATCAGAGAGATACGTCCACCACAATATTTATTGCAGTATGCTTCACAGCAGCGAAAACAAGAAATTGACGAAGTCTTCTAACATCATCGTTGAATGGGTAAGAATAATACTATACACACACACACACACACACACACACACAGTGAAACAACCTTACAAATCCCTCTTTCCACAAACTTTTTCAGGGACCCACATGATGCTCTCTGCATTACCTTAAGTAACTAGAACAAATGTGGGCACATCACAGACACTCCTTTGAAACCCAAGAAAAACACGTTTACCAAGAGAAAAGTCCTCTGCTATAATTCTGACTTCTACAAACTGAATACAAGCCACAAACTTCATTCCTAGGCTAAGTCAGGTTCTCCATGTACCTAAGCCCCCTATCAACACTTATCTTATTTCAACTAAGATCTTCTCCATCTCTTGGTAGTGGGGACACTTTGGTCAAATTTCCTGATTAACTCAGCACCCATTCCCCAGTACCTTCTGAAAGGTCCCTCTGACCACCTCCTGATACCCTTTCCCTCACTTTCACTAAGGTTTCTCCCCAGGCCCTGTCCCGGATCTAACACTCTGATGCTCCACTAGTTCTTACAAGTAGTTCTACCAGCTCCTCCCTATTACAACTCTCCTCAAAGTCACCTGCCTTCCTCCATGCAACCCTTCTATTTTCCCTTTCTATCACTGGATGGTGACATACAGAAATAACCTGTTTTCAGCTCCCCAAACCTTGCATGAACCAGGTTCTTCCCATGGCATCTAACCCTCCACTCCCACTGCATGAATTACTTGCAATCCCATCGTCCTTAGCCTGAAAATCTAAAACATAACAACTATTACCACGTCTCTCCAAAGCAGACTTCTTATCTTTTGTACTCTGAGTCAACACATGCAGTTTTCCTCCCAGGTCTCCCTCCCACTGCCTGGAGACACAGTCTTCCCTTCTTAACATGTTCTTTGGCCCCTAATTCTCTGCAGCGCCCGAGGGAATACATTCACCAACATCTTATTCACCTCTGTCTCTGTGGCCAACACTCTATTCTAGGAATGCTAGGCCCCCACATTTCTGTCTCCACATGTCTATAGGGCTTCCCCACTTGACCCTCCTTCCCAAAGCTTGGAAGTCCACCTTGCTCTCAGCCTCGCCAGCCCAACTCCAGGAAACAGAGGTCCCTTCCCTTCCCTTCTCTCCCCCTTGGCCCAAAGGCTGCCATCTACAGGATGCAGCCACGTCTACTAACCAGTTGCTCCTGTCCAGGGCAAAGGCCCAGCCAGGTTTTACAAGGAAGCTGAGCAAGCTCCAGAAATGGAAGATTACCCAGCAGCTGAACTTCAGCGTCAACTCGGTGTCCAGTTTCATATCCATGAAAATGTCTACAATGAAAATTAATAAACATTAAAGAAATGGAAGAAGACACACAAAAATGGAAAAATCTGCCATGTTCATTCATTGGTAAAATCGACAACATGAAAATTTCCATTCTACCATAAGCAATTTAGAGACACAATGGGATCCCAACCAAAGGACAAATAACATTTTGCCCAGATGGAAAGAAAACAATGCTAAAATTCATATGAAAACACAGAACATCCGAATACTGAAATCAACCTTATACAACATTGACAAAACTCAAAGCGTCGCAATAACAGATTGTAAGACACAGAACAGGGCAGTTATGATCAAAACAGCTTGGTACAGGCAAAAAAAAAATGACATAGAACAATGGAACAGAAAAGAAACACCTGAAATAACGCACACATCTACAACTACTCTGTCTTTAAAAAGTGCTAAAGATCAATCCCAGGTGCAAAGGACAGTTTCTTCAAAAAATGGTCCTGAGAAAACTGGACCTCCACATGCAGAACTCTGAAAGAAGCCCGATACCTTACACCTTATACAAAAAGCAACGAAAAACACTTCAAGGAACAAAATCTAAAACTGAGTATCATCAAATTACTAGAGAACACTAGTCCACTATGGGTACAGGTTCACATCCATGTCCTCCGTGGGGGGAGGGGAGGCTGACACCAGCGTCTCGGCTTCCTCACAGTTGAGCTCCCACCCACCCCACTGCCTCCAAACCTGTGCATTTGGGGGGAGAACACCGCTGGGAAGCCCCGGATCCCGCATCCTTTGAGGCAGGCCCTGGGCATTTCACTGTCCATAATCTCAAAAGCAGCAAATCCCTCCCGCACTCTCCAAGCCTCCCGTGCCAGTGCCGCCAATAACACCGCCAGCCTGCCACGACGCCACTCCCGCGGACATCTCCTACTTCTTCCCCAGGCCTACTGCGCAAGCGCCATCCAACTAACACCTGCCCCTTCCTCCCAGAATACACAGCGTCAGTAAAGAGGCCGCACTGCCTTGATTAACCAGGGGCAGCGACCTGAGCCCCAGCCTGACATGGCCGCCCTGTGCTCACCATGACCAAATGCGCTCCAAGGGCATCGTTGCTCCCAATGCAGCCCATCAGAAGCTCAGGGCAGTGTGGAGCTCTCTAGACCTCCAGGCTGACACCCAGCCACTCCTGCATGGTGCAGCGCTCTGCCAAACTGCCCGTGGTCAGGGTACTGAACGGCAGATACACGCCCAGCATCCTTGCCCTTGTCTGTCCCAGGGCTGCTGCCAGGAGTCAGACAACCAAGTGCACGATGTGTTGCGCTCCGGACAGAGAGGTAGGGTGGGGACAATCACTGTGTACCTAAATTGCATTTATGAAATGCATGGAATTTGGATCTCTTAAATAAAAAACAAATCTTTTGAGAACACCTGCACTGTCTTCTCTTGGTCATTTCCTCGCCCCTCCCCTATGTCACAATTGTAGGTGACTCAGTCGCTCATCACTGTGTCCCTGGGAACAGACTGCCTTGCTGGAAGTCCTAACTCAGAACTTTTCATCCCACACTTGCGGAATACACATTCTTCTCAGTCCCTGGAACTTTCTCTAGGACACAACATATGATAGGCCATAAAACAAGCTTAGTAAACTCAGTAACTGAAATCATTTCACGCATATTCTATGACCAAAATTCAAGGAAATGGAAAATCAACAACTCAAGAAACTCCAGAACATATGCAAACACATGGAGACCGAACGACATGCTCCTGAATGAATGGTGGGTCGTAGGAGAAATCAAAATGGAAATCAAGAAATTTCTGGAAATGATTGAAGATAACAGTACAACATAGCAAAACGTATGGGACACAGCAAATGCAATGTTAAGAGGACACTTTATAACAACTTGTGCCTACCACAAGATATTGGAAAGGCATCAAATAAATGAGCTTTTCAATGCATCACAAAACCTGGAAAACCAACATATCAAACTCCAAATTAGTAGGATGACAGAAATCATGGAAATTTGAGAAGAAATAAACAAAGTTGAAGCAAAAACATTACAAAAGATCACTGAAATGAAAAGCTGATTAAAAAAATTTTTTTACAAACTTGCTGAAAATCTCCAAAACAAACAAACAAACAAAAAAACAGGAATAAGACCCCAATCAGTAAAATCATAAACAAAAAAAACAAACTGTAATAACAGAAACCCAATAAATAAAAAAAAAAAACATCGGGAATTACTACAATGTACTGTTTGCCAATGAATTGGTCACTCAATAAGTCTGCCTTTCATTTAAATAAATATTTTTAAAAACATATGATTATTTCAAATAGATGAAAACAGCTGGAAAAATGCAACATCCTTTCAGAAAGAAAACCTTAAGGAAACTGACTGTAGAAGAACATTCCTCAACAATCAAGGCAATTTATGTCAAACAGCCTGATAGCATCTTATGAATGGGGACAAGTTGGAAGCATTCCCAACTACGATCTGGAATCAGACAAGGATGCACCCTTATTATTGCTATTCAAGATAGTTCTGGAAGTTTTAGACAGAGCCATTAGGCAAGAAAAAGAAATCAAATGGACACAAATTGGGAAGGAGGAAGTCAAAGTATCCCTCCTTCAGAATGACATGATTTTTTAAATGGGGGAACCAAGAAACTCCAGTACAAGATTATTAGAACTCAGAGTTTGGAAAAGTGGCAGGATAGAAAATCAACACACAAAAATCAATAAAATTTGTATACACACAATGTCATGGCTGAGAGACAACTTCAAAGATCCATTCCATTCACAATAGCTACTAAAATTTAAATACCTTTGAGTAAAGGTAACCAAGGAGGTTGAAGATTTAAAAAGCAACTCCAATACTTTTCCAGCTATTTCAAAATATTGAGCTGGATGGAATAGAATTCAACTCTAACAAACACTTTTTGTGAGGCCAGAATTATTCTGACCACAAAAGATAGCTAAACATTGAATGTAAACAAAACTGCTGGCCTAGATTCTAAATGAAAAAGATGCAAACATTCTCAACAAAATTCTAGCCAAACAAAACCAAAATCACACGCAAAAGCTCATGTATAACCTTCAGTTGGAATTCATCCCAGAAATGCCATGATGTTCCACATTTTCAAATTAATACACATGATAAATTATATCAAAATAATTGAAGAACAAAACCACATTGTCAGCCAGTGTTGCGGCTCACTAGGCTAATCCTTCACCTTGCGGCACCGGCACATCGGGTTCTAGTCCTAGTCGGGGCACCGGATTCTGTCTCGGTTGCCCCTCTTCCAGGCCAGCTCTCTACTTTGGCCCGGGAGTGCAGTGGAGGATGGCCCAGGTCCTTGGGCCCTGCACCCGCATGGGAGACCAGGAGAAGCACTTGGCTCCTGGCATCGGATCAGCTCGGTGTGCCAACCACAGTGCACCGGCCACAGCAGCCACTGAGTGTGAACCAACGGCAAAGGAAGACCTTTCTCTCTGTCTCTCTCTCTCACTGTCCACTCTGTCAAAAAAAAAATTAAACAAAGAAATACAAATGGCCAACAATTCCATGAAAAAAATGCTCAATATCATATCACAAGCCATCATGGAAATGCCATCCAAACCACAATGATATGAGCTAACCCTTTCAAAATGGTTAAGCTCCAAAGGACAGAGTCACAATGATAAGGTGGAAGTGGGAAAAGGGGAACACTTAACACACTGCTGTTAAATATGTAAATTAGTGCAGCTGCTATGGAAAACTGTAGGAAGACGACGCCCTGGGGGCTGGAGGAACCTGAGAGAATGGCCTTTGGGGCCAGTGCGCCTGAGGCACCTGAAGCACCTGTGGAAGGGGCAGGTGGAGAGGGGAGGGGAAGACAGGTGGGGGACAGGGGAGGGTAGCATGGTGTGTGCAGGCTGGGCTGCAGACTCCCACTGGAAGGCAGGGCCTGGGGGAGGTCCTGGTCTCAATCTAGGTCCATGAGGACCCCAGGTCTTCATTTATAAACCCGCCAGCCATGCCTAACTCCACCACTCAGCCTGCACCTCTGTCTCTACAGCTCCCTTCTGGGTCATGCTCAGAAGAGGGGCGCCCTCACCCATTTCCCACAGAGCTGCAAATGACAGGGTGGGTGGCAGATGCTGCCATGGGGGCCAGAACTCCCTTCCCACATCCCCCAACAGGCAATCCCTGGAGACCACTAGGAGGTGGCTGGTCAGGTGCCCACCAGTGGGAGCTACCATCCTGAAAACTAGAGCTAGACACAAAGCAGGCCTGGCTCGACACCTCCTCCTGTCATTGGCCACCTGACCAGAGAGGCCCACACTGTTCGCCCTCTCCTGTCCACTGAGCTGAACACAGGTTGGGAAGGTGAGGTGAGGGATCAGTGCTGGCTGTGGTGGGTGGAGTGGCATCATCATAGGCACTTGTTCTAGTCCTGGCTGCCCCGTGAACACACCTGGGAAGGCAGGGGTCAGAGGATGCAAAATCCCCACCCCTAAACCACTCTTCAGGGAACGTGGCCATGGCTAAGCCATGGTGGCCACAAAAGCAACAGACAGCAGCCATGTGGAAGCCAACGGTAAGAGCAGCTTCAGACCCCATGTTAAGGACCCAGAATCACCTGAGAGGCCCTAGAGATGCCAGGGACCAAGGACACAGCATTACTGGTGCTGATGAGGAGCGAGGGGAGGTCCAGACATGGACAGGCCTGGGGCAGCCAGGAATCCCAAGCACCTGCACCACTCCACAGCCTCTCTCCCGGCTCACAAGCACCCAAGACAGGAGCTGGGAACAGCTGGGACTCAAGCTGGCACCCGAAGGCCATGCCAGTGTTGGCTGTAGGCCCAGCTGTGCCACCTCGCTGTCCCTGATTCCACCAAACATCAAGTGCCTGAGCTCCTAGAGCTCTGAAGGCGTCCCCAGTGCTGAAGATGGTGGGGTTTTAGGGTTTTAAGATATTTTTTATTTAAGATGCAGATTTGCAGAGAGAGAGAGATCTTCCACCTGCTGGTTCATTCCCCAAATGGCTACAGCAACAAGAGCCAGGCCAGGGTGAAGCATTAACTATGCATGTGCACACCACACACTTGCACAGTACACATACACATGTGAACCTACATGCACACAGAACACACACATACACACACACTAACATCACCGTCACGGTCCACACAGGTGATCTTACTCCAGGAAGGGGGTGGCCTGCCTGCTGTGGTCCACAGGGAAAACAGAAGCAGTAACTGCACCCAGGAGCCACCAGGGTGGGCACAACTCTGACGCTGGGGCTCTGAGCAGAGTCCAGGGGCAGCAATGTGCTCTGCCCCTCCCTGCCTTCAGGACATGGAGTCCTGGGGCCCTAAGGGGCAGCTGCGAGGACTGGGTTTCACATTGGTTTTTGTAGGAATGTGTGGAACCCCTTGGCACTGAGAACGTTCCTGGTCCCAGGTGGGTCTGGGCCAGGAGGAAGACTCCCTGACCAGGCCAGCTCTGACTCTTGCTCAGGACCTGCATGGCTGCTTCTCCTCCAGTGCAAGACACAAACACATCCAGAGAGAGGGAACAAGAGGCCAGGGCCAGCGCACTGAGGACAGGCCTCTGCCTGGGACCATGGCCTGGCCCTTCAGGGTCTCCGACACTCACCAGGATGAAAGCAGCCATGGGGTGTGGGTGGAGACTTAGGGTCCTGGGTTCTCCAGTGCCGGTACCAGCATGGCCCTGCGTCCTCTCCAAGGTGAGCATCAGAAGGAGATTGGCGGGGGGAGGCAGCCCCTTAACCTGGGCCCTTTTGGACATCTGCAGTCACCTGTGTCCACAACAGGTGCTGGTGTCCTTTGCGCTTTGCTGGGTCCCTTCTCAGGGTGCATTTCTGAGTGGAGACCATGGACCCCCGAGCCCACTGCCCCCTCCTCAGCACCCCTCCACTAGGGCCAGCGACCCGCCTGCTGCGCAGGCTCACTGAGGGGGTCTGTCCCACACACCCCCCAGCCCATGCCAGTTGAAGCATGTGCAGGAAGGGCCTGTGGGCTGAAGTATGCATCCGGGCACAGCCCATTCCGAGTTCACTTCTGGACTGAGTGTGTGTGTGCGCTGCATATGTGTGACTGCAGAGCTCAGAGCCAGGCTACAACTGGCTGCATGTAAACAAACTCAGGAGCTCCAGAGGGGACAGTGTTCCAGAAGCCGCATTCAAAACTCCATAGGGAATAGGAGGGACCTGGGCTCCTCTTCCTTTAAGCGTACTTCAGGGCACCCACGCTCAGCAGCTGCCCCCAGTGTCTACCAGCTCCTGAGGCCATCGCCTGTCCTCTGGCAGCTCCCAGCCTCTAGCGCCCAGCAGGTTCCTAAGGGTGGGGCCCACATGCTTGCAGGGTACATACCTATCAGCGAAGGAGCCCGTGATCTGAGGCCACAAATGCCAAACCAACCGTGAAACACTGTGGGCGAGGACAGGTTAGGGAGGCCCATGGCTACCTTAGCTGGCTCCTGGACACCAGTGACCACCTCTCTCCCTGCAGGGTTCTCACCCCCAACTCCACACCCCTGGACCCCTCAGCCAAGGCTTCAACCAGCGTTCTTCATAGAAATGGTCCAGGCGGCTGTAGACACTTCACTGACCTTGCTGAGGATGGCCCACAGAAGTGCAAGTCCTGGGACGCGGGGTGGTTTCTTCCCACTTGAAAAGCTGGAAATGCGGCCAGGGGTATGGCGGCCCATGGTCTGCAGGAGGCCGGGTCAGCAGGATCGTCGGGCCACACAGAGCCTGGCTCTGAGTCCCACAGCTTCGTCGAGGATGAGGCCCCGCCATGAAAAAACTCCCCCAGCAGAGAACGGGAACAAACATTCCTGGGGAGAAACCAGGTTTTGCAGGGGCCAGCCAGGCCAGGGCAGGTGGGGCAGGGATACAGAGGCTACAGGGGTTGGGGCACAGTGTCAGCTTCTGTGGCTTCTGTCTCCCTCTAACTGTGCCCCTTCCCCACTGTGGTTGTGGAAGCTCCCCAGGAGGGCCTGGCCTCGCTGACAGATGCACCAGGGACCCCCAGCAGCCCAGATCCTGGAAGGCAGCTTCCCACACCACAACACAGTCCCAGTTGCTGACTCTGGAGGTTTCAACGGGTGGGTGTGGGTGGCAGAACCTGCTGTCCCTCTTGGCACTGGGTCCGTGTATATGAGCCCCTCCCCAAAGTCACTGAGGGGCAGAGACCTGGGGTGGGACCCCTTGGGGTGGGGAGGGAGAAATGGTTCCAAGAGGGTGGGGGGTGTGGCCTGGCAGCTGAAGGTACTCTAGTGGCCGGGCACGGTGACTCTTGGGCAGGTGCCTGTCCATGGGCAGTTTGCTCCACTGCCCACGGCTCCAATTGTTCTAGGGCCCTTCCCTTGGCATTGGGCCAGTGTTGGAGCCGGGGCCAGCATTGATGTTCAATCTGCCTAGACTCTATAATTTGAAGATTCATTTTCTAAGAATTTTTTCTTTATTTATTTAAGAGGAGGGAGCGAGAGCGCACGCTCCTCCTAGGTGTCTGAAGTGCTGGAGCCCCAGGATGAAGCTGGAAACCAGAGTGGAGCCTGGATGGAAACCCCAGGTCTCATCCTGGTGCTCTCACTGCTGGGCCCAAAGATTGCCCAAGCAGTTTACACACACTGCATCATGGGTCTAATTAAATGCATCATGGGTCTACTCATGTGTATGAAAATAGGGAAATAGAGTTTAGAATACCTTGGCAACTGAAACCTCATACTGTCCTTAGCTAAGATCTTAGATACATAAAGATTTGGGCAAGGTTCATCTGCCAGTGTCCTTGTCCCACTGTGGTATGTTCAATTTGTCGTTTTCTGGTGACTGTCAATTGAGGGTAAAGCCCACAGCACTGACTCTTACCCAGCCTGAGGAAGACCTGCGAGCAGAGAAGGGGCAGCTCTGTTGTGATTGATTTGAAGGAATGCTGTACACTTACTCATCCCTGCTCTGGGGTTAGTTTAAAAACTAGGTTCCATTGGTTATGAGCCCTGTAAGAGCCCGTCTACACCTGCCACCCCGTGATGGGCTGGGAAGTGGACCAATGTGGAGAGAGTGGCCAGTGCACAAGAGCGAGTGTGCTCCACACGTGGCTCACAGTCCCACTGAGGGCAATGACCTCACCTGCACAGAATGTTGGCACAGGCCAGACTTCTGTGATGTCATCCTCCGTGGCAGTTATTAGGCCTTGCTGCCAGCACAGTGGCACAGGGACAGGCGCCGAGGGCAGGGACAGAGCAGGGAGAGCAGGTCTGTGGGGAGAGGGCCTGGGGAGCAAGGGAGTGGTGGACATGGGAGGGAAGGGAGAAGGCAGGATGGGGGTATGGGCACGGGCAGGGTAATGGAGGATGGGGACAAACAGAGTGGTTCAGGGGTGGGCCAGGGTGGGCCGAGGGAGGGCGAGGGAGGGCGAGGGGGCGAGGGTGGGCCGAGGGAGGGCAGGGTGGGCGAGGGTGGGCCGAGGGAGGGCGAGGGTGGGCGAGGGTGGGCCGAGGAGGGCGAGGGAGGGCGAGGGTGGGCCGAGGGAGGGCGAGGGTGGAGGTGGCGAGGGAGGGCGAGGGGGGCCGAGGGAGGGAGGGGGGAGGGTGGGCCGAGGGAGGCAGGGAGGGCGAGGGTGGGCGAGGGTGGGCGAGGGAGGGCGAGGGTGGGCGAGGGTGGGCCGAGGGAGGGCGAGGGGGCGAGGGTGGGCCGAGGGAGGGCGAGGGTGGGCCGGGGGAGGGCGAGGTGGGCGAGGGTGGGCCGAGGGAGGGCGAGGGAGGGCGAGGGCGAGGGGGGCCGAGGGAGGGCGAGGGTGGGCCAGGGTGGGCGAGGGAGGGCGAGGGTGGGCCAGGGGGCGAGGGTGGGCGAGGGAGGGCGAGGGTGGCAGGGTGGGCCGAGGGAGGGCGAGGGTGGGCCGAGGGTGGGCCGAGGGAGGGGAGGGTGGGCCGAGGGTGGGCCGAGGGAGGCTGAGCATGGGCTTCGTGTGGAATTGGGAGGGAGAAGGGGAGCACAGGGTGATGGCGGTGGCAGGCATGGAATGGGGCACTGGATCCAGGACAATGGGGAGAGCAGTGGAAGAGGAGACTGGGGGGGCTATGGGGGACTCTCTGTAGCATTCATGCTGCACCATGGGTACGTGGGGAGAGTGTTGGGTATTTCTCAACCCAACCTGGCCTTCCCTCCCTTGTGAAATGGCAAGGGTTTAAATCCCTGGAACCAGATCCAACTCATTGCCTGTGTTTATAAATAAAGGTTCCACATTGATCTGAAAACTACCATGTGGTGTGTAATTTTTCACAAAGATTTATGCATTGGAAACAGAAATGAGCAAAAGAGGTGGTGACAGAGAGGTCTTCCTTCCTCTGGTTCACTTCCCACAGGACCCCAACAGTCAGGTAGGGGCCAGGATGGAGCCTGGAACAGGGAACTCCTACTACTCTCCTAAATGGGTGCTGGGCCAAAGTACTTGGGTCTGGATCTGCTGTACTCCTAGGCACACAAGCAGAAGACCGGATGGGAAGTGGAGCAGCTGAGACTTGAAATAGTGCTCCAACGTGGGAGCTTAGCTGAGCAAAAGCTACAAAAAGGTTGGCTCCCTTGTGAAGTGTCATTGAGTGTAAGAGTTTGCACACCCTAGGGATGAAAGGTGGTGTTCCATCTGCTAGTTCACGTGCACACCACACTGGGTACTACTGCCTGAGACAGTGTTGGGACCCCCACAGGCATACATACAATCTTTGGCACCTCCCCTTGCCAGCTGAGGGAGGCCTGGTTTTGAGTGGAGAGCTTCATTGAAGAGGGCCGACTCACCTCATGGGACTAGAGATGGGAGGGGAGGTCCTGAGCCCAGCCGGATCCTAGGCTCTGTCCGGTGCTGAAGGAGGCTCATGTCTGGCTTTCCCCAGCAATGTGTCCGACGGCTATGAAACAAGACAAAACCAACAACCTTTAAGGCCTCTGGGAATCCACCAAAAAAAACCAGCCAAATCAACCAACCACAAAATAGACAGCACTGATTGATGGAGAATTGCTGACTGCCCAGGAAAGAAGAGTGGGAGAAGGTGGTGTGCTGGCCTGGAGCTGTGTCCCTTTCCTCCCCACCCTGAGCTTGTGGTGCTACCAGGGTGGGTAAAGGTGTCTGTCAAAACCAGCAGTTTGGTTTGTTGGACATGGTGCTGAGGGGAGAGCAAGGAACCCATGCTCAAGTCCTCGCCAGTAAAAAGAGCAAACTTCACAGGACAGAATGCAGGAAAGCGGCAGTCCTGCTGGCCTGAGGTTGGACGCCCTTTGGGACAGGGGAAGACCAGTGTGCCAAACAAATGTTTTTATTTTTTTATGATTAGGTATTTATTTGAAAGCCCAAGATACAGAGACTGTGACATAGAGAGATCTTCCATCCAACTGGTTTACTCCCCAGGTGGTTGCATCAACCACTATGGGACCAGGCCAAAGCCGGGAGTCAGGAGTCAGGAGTCGAGACTTCCTGGTCTCCCGTGAGGGTGGCAGGGCCCCAAGCACTTGTTCCATCTGCCACTGCTTTCCCCAGGATATTCGGGAGAATCCTGATCAGAAGTGGAACAGCCTGGATACAAACCAGTGCCCATATGGGATGCTGGCATTACAAAAGGTGACTGAACCTACTATGCTACAACACTGGCCCCCAATTTTTTTATTGATTGGAAAGGCAGGGACACACAAAAGAGAAAGGGCCAGATGGGGAGAACGTCCATCCTTGTTTAGCCCTCCAAGTATACACAACATCCATGGCTGGGCCAGGCAGAAGCCAGGACCCAGGCATTCAACCTGGGTCCATGTGAGTGGCAAGGACCCAACAACTTGAGCCACTACCTGTTGTCTCCCAGGGTGGGTATTACAGGAAACTGGAACTGCAAGGAGAGCTGGGACTTGAACTCAGGCCCTCTGTTATGGGATGGGAGCATCCCAACAGGTGGTGTCATCACTGTGCCACACACCCTCCCCCAAAGAGAAGTTTTCCAGGAGAATCCTGGATGCCATGGTTGGGCTAGACTGAACTCAGCAACCAGGAGCTTCATTCACATCTCCCACGTGGGAAAGCAGAGAAGATGGCCCATGTCTTTGGGCCTCTGAATCCAAGTGGGATACCTGGGGGAAGCTTTCTGAGCCATGGCGTGCAGAAGATCTGCTCCACCCATCCATGGAGAAAGAGCCATGTTACCAGAACCAGCTCTCTGTGGCTGCTCCACCTTGGGTTTTGAGCCCCTGAGCCTCTGATATGTTGAGTGCCTGGGAGTACCTCACAGTTTTACCTGGGCACACAGCCCCCATCAATCCTCCCAGCCAGACTCAAGGTCAGTGGGGAACAGGGACTTTGCTCTCTGGCAATATCCCTGGATCCCACACGTGCACCAAGAGTCACTCGCCACAGCCCCTCCTTGTTTCACAATGGCACCTTCTCCCCACCATCCTCCAGCTGAACTGCCAGCTGCTGGGCACATGCCCGAGACCTGCTCAGCTGCTTCTTACATCCATAATTCCACCTGCCCTCTCTCAGCCACCTGTTTGTGGGGAAACGGGGAGAGGGAAATGTGCCCCTTTGTCCCACTGGGTAAGTGGGTGCCCTGTCGCACTCAGGACTCCAGGCTGCATTCACAGACAGCGCAGTCGACCAGGCTCTCCCTCCAGCTAGATCACCAGTGTCACAGTTTTCTGCACTCTGATTTCACTCACTCTCCAAAGCTGATGCAGCTCCTGGGGTCATGTGCTGTGTCTGTGCTTGCTGCTTTGCGTCCACGTGGGCCTTCCACCATGATCCACGGTGTCCTTCTTCCTTCCTCAGCACTTCCTGTAGTTTGCTCTCCAAGTCTCCCCTAAGAATCTACTTCATCCACTTTTTTTTTGCTGTTTTCCCCTAGCCTAAAGCAGTACACCCCTTCCCCATTCTGCTCTTTTGGAATCTCCAAGATGCTTTACTTTAAAATGGCTTGCCTCATGAATGGGCATAGCAACACAGCAGAACACAGTTTATTGTTTAGAGGTCTGGCATAAGCAAATTCAGTTCAGAATACTAATGTTATATTTCGTGGCATTTATTCTCACTAGTTAATTTTCAGAAGTCTTACTAACAGTAAGGAATTCCTTTGGGAAATTTAGCAGTTTCCTTGCTGAAAACCACTGGGTTACATTGTTTTGGGAGTAGAACATTGTGCCCTCCTTAGAACATTAGTCAAGGCCTTGATAGTCACTCTTTGGCAAACAACTCTGCTGCTGAAAATACAAAGGGAGAGACAGGAGTGACATTTGCATTTTGATTTAGATAGTACTTTGTTCTCAACTATTTTTGGTCTCCTTTCCTCTTCAGAATGCACTTGTACACGCACACACACACACATTCCTCTGATATAAAGTATTCTGTACAGAGAATCGAGCCAATTAACTGAGACATGAGCAATGTAGAGAGTAGAGTGTAAGGAGAGAAAAATTCACTGCTCTACAATTATATCAAACACGATGAAGATTCACTGCCGGTCTGATGTCTGTTTTAGGGCTCATATGATAACAGCTTTTCCCCTTCTGGTTTTTCATTTAGCTGTGCTTTCAGATTTTTTTTTCATGTTTTTGGTAATCTTCCTTTAAATATCTGTACAAGAGTTAACATTGCAATGTGGCATTGCTACCAGTACTCTGCTATGTGATACTTATTTTAACACCTTTGATAGTCTGAGAAAATTTGATGGGTTAGTTTTTTCTGGAGCAATTCCTTTACTTCACTTATTTTAACCCACTGCTTTTGGTAATGCTGTTTATGAGGAGTTGCCTTCACTTCTTGCTCCTGGAATCACGACTATCATGAATATTCTGCTTTCTGACTCCTGGCAGCTCAGGTGAGATGACTCAGCCTTTTGAAAGCCTTACTCAGCAGTTGCACTCCCTAGAATATTTTCTGACTTCTTTCAAAATATTTTAACCAAAAAAGATTTTGAAGGCAAAATGAGAAAAGGTTGAAATTAAGTTATATACATATATTGCATATCTTATCTTTGTTTTTCAAATTTATTTCTGTAGTGGAATATAAGCACTCTAAGGGCTAAGCCATGCGTATACTACAATAAACATTTATGGAATGTGGTATTTATTTTCAAAAGCCTCAACAAAAAGCAGCAGTAAAGCTGAAATATCATATGTTTGAGAATAATATAATAATACCAATATCCAAAATGTTAGAATGATGCAATTATTTGTTTCTGACTACAGATTTCCTGATATGATCACGGTATATAGTTTAGCATTAGACCAAGATTTATTGCCTCATAAAAACAACATTAAAATAATTTATTTTGTGTGAATTAGAATTCTAAGACATAAAAAATGAGAATTAAACCTTGATTCAAGAAATTTTTGAAAAGTCCATTGAAGGATCATAGGCAGCATACAAAAGAACCCCTGAAGAAGATAGTGAACCACAACCAGGAGCAAGACACAAATAGAGTCCTCTGTGTGGCAGAGATTCTAAACTACAACTTGTCCACAGATCTTGATCTTTCCGATTTGCTTACCGAAGGCTCCCACTGTCACTGATGCAGGCTTTTGGTGTCACTATCGTACCAGTGCAGGCACTGCTGCCTGTGAAAGCTCAGTGACCTTACAACTGCTGAAGTCACTGCCAGAAATGACAACTTAGCAGCTTCTTTCCAGCTGAGGGTGTGGGGAGCAACCCAGACTAGACTGTTACTGGAATTAAGACTTATTCTATGCATCTGCTCTCCCACAATATGGCGCTGGGAGAGAAGAAAACAGCTTCTGCACAGCTGCCTCCAGTTCAGCCAATAAACTGTAGGACTTGCTCCTGATTGGAGGAGAGCAGCGTACTCGGCGTGTGGGCAGCCAAGTTGGGATTGGCAGAGGAGGACTATAAAGGAGGAGAGAGACGGCATACACCGGGGAACATCTAAGGGGAACATCTGTGCAGCCCCCGAGAGAGCCGGCCGGCGGAGTGCCGCTCCCCTGCGGAAGTGGGGAATGTGGCCAGGGGGAACTGCCATTCCACGGAGGTGGAAGGGACAGTAGCCAACCCGGGAAGAACCAGCAGCAAACCCGGGGAGGGCCGAGCAGACGAAAGAACAGCGCAGGGTCCTGTGTCGTTCCTCCACGAAGACGAGGAGCGACATAATGGTGCCGTGACTCGGATATGAAGCCTAGGCAGGGTTTTGTGTCGTTCCTCCATGAAGAGGGGGAGCGGCATAATGGTGCCGTGACTTGGATAGGAAACCTAGGAGGGAAGAAACGGGAAGAAGTGGAAAATATCGGAGAGAGAGACTAGCAAACAGCCTAGGGAAAAGCCGGACGAAAAAGGTGCCGGAAGAAGCTATTGAAAGCCTAGGCATAGACTCAGATACGGACTACAGGGGGAAGCTGGGAGAAATCTCTAAGGTCGAAAGCAAAAGTGAAAGCTAGAACAAACAGACTCGGATACGGACTGTGGGGAGAGGCCAGGAGAAATGAGGGAGGAGTATTGTTGGAGGAAAGCCTGGGGAAACATACCGGGTAGAGAAAAATGTTAGGGAAATTGAAGCCGCGGGGGGCAGGCTGAGGCAGAGACGAAAGCCACTTTGGGATTCTCCAGTTAGTCCGGGAATGGGGGGCGAAAAGTTGAAACCAGAAGCGGAAACGTAAGCCAGATTGGGATCCGTCTGATTAGCCCGGGGAGCAAAGGACGGGAAGCCAAATCGTGGGGCGGAGACGTGAGCTGGGTTGAATTCGCCAGGCTAGCCCGGGGAACTTGGATTGAATGCTAGTGGCGGAGACGTGAGCTACGCTGTGTGACTCGTGGAGACTGCCGCGCGCAGAGAGAGTGCGCGGCTCAAGTAGATAGGGAACGCGGGGCTAGTGAGAGACTGCGGAGTGTGCACGCGAAGCCGAGCCACGCAGAGCCGCGAAGCCG